CTCACTGCAACGATGGCTCGGATGAGTTGAACTGTGCGAGAGCAGGGGCTCCTCCTGAAAGTCCAAATAAACTCCTGAAATGTCGTTTCGGCTCCAGAACGTGTCGGGATGGAACGGGGTGTGTCCTGTTGAGTCATGTTTGTGATGGAGAGAAAGATTGTCAAGATGGTTCAGATGAAAACGAATGTGGTGAGTTTACATCTGAAATTAAAAGGATTTGTCCCCCTCAGATTCACCATATATGAGTTCATATCCACTTTTCCTTTTTAGATGTTGCTGCTGGTAATCCTGTAGAAAAAGACTTCTTAAATGAATCGCCCGATTCATTTAAACTGTTGACTCCGCCTCCCACCACGCCACCGTGCACCAGCCCCTCACTTCTGTGTCCTGCTTCCTCCATTTGCATCAAACCAGCCCAGATGTGTGATGGAAGGAGAGACTGTCCTGATGGATTTGATGAAAAGTGTGTGAGAAGGTGTCCCTCTAGGAGTAAGTGGTTTTTTTTTTTTTGTTGTTGTTTTTTATTAGTTTACACAATTTAAGAGTTAAACGGACAATTTAACAGATGCTGACTTTTTTAAAAATGTTTATTTTAATGTATAGCTGACTTCCGCTGTAAAGACCGTCGGGGCTGCGTCCCTAGAAGCCAAGTCTGTGACGGCCGCTCTCACTGCATCGACGGCTCGGACGAGTTGAACTGTGCGAGGGCAGAGGCTCCTCCTGAAAGTCCAAATAAACTCCTGAAATGTCGTTTTGGCTCCAGACTCTGTCGAGATGGGATGTCTTGCGTCCTCTTGAGCCACGTTTGTGATGGAGAGAGGGATTGTTTAGACGGATCGGACGAAGATGGATGTGGTATTTATTCAGACTATTGCAGTGTCGCTGGTAAATTGCCTTAATGTAACTGGTTCTGTCTTATGATTTTGTTTCTAGAAGATGCTGAGAGCGACCCTGTTTCTGAGGAAGATGATTACAGGAATGAATTTCCTGCTCCTACTGAAGGGTTCACTCAGCCTCCCACCACTCCACCATGCACCAGCCCCTCAGTTCTCTGTCCAGGTTCCTCTACTTGCATCAAACCAACCCAGATCTGTGATGGAAGGAGAGACTGTCCTGATGGCTTTGATGAGAAATGTGTCAAAAGGTGCCCGTCTCGGAGTAAGTTTAAAGAAATCCTTATTTTGAATAGTTGTGAACGAGTAAATTAACAGATTTCATTTGTATTTTGCTCAAATATATAGGCGTAATAAACAAACTGGACATGGTTGTAATTGTTTATAACCCTACGTCTCTCCATAGCCGACTTCCGCTGTAAAGACCGTCGGAGCTGCGTCCCAAAGAGCCAAGTGTGTGACGGGCGCGCTCACTGCATCGACGGCTCCGACGAGTTAAACTGTCCAGGCGTAGCTCTTCCTGCAGCTCCTGCTAACGTCCTGAAATGTCGAATGGGCTCCACACTCTGCCACGACGGGACAGAATGTGTTCTGTTCACTCACTTCTGTGATGGAGAGAGGGACTGTCAGGATGGATCAGATGAAGAAGAATGTGGTGAGTTATTTTGAAAATTCATTCGATCTTTATTTATACAGGTTAATCCCATTGAGCCTCGGGGACTCGTTTGCTAGAGAGGCCTGAAAATGCTTGTTGGGTCTGAATTTCCAAAAAGTACTGGGAAATGATTTTCCTCGAGCATTACTAATGAAATCATTGCATTAAAGGGCCCTTTGCACCAGTAGTGGTGGAATCATTGCATTTTACTCATGTTTAGGGGTTAATGGCAACGACGGTCATGGAAAGATCTATAGAATTTTGTTAGTGAAATGAACTCAAAGCTGTTTTTTGATTGTAACTATATTAAATCAACCACAATTCTTAAACTTCTAGATTCTGCAGAGAGATCCATTGAATCTCCTCCACTCAACCAGCCATCCTGCAGCTTTCCTGCAGTTCAGTGCCCGGATTCGTTTGTTTGCATCAACCCGTCGCAGCTGTGTGATGGGATACGAGACTGTCCCGATGGGTCCGACGAGAACTGTGTGAAAAAGTGTGCAGACAGGAGTATGTGAATTTCAATTTTCTTTTTCTCAAATTTTTATTTTTTTTCTCTTAATCGCCCATTCATTTATTGTTGTTTTTTTCCACAGCTGATTTTCTCTGCAAAGACCGTCGGAGCTGCGTGTCCAGGAGTCTGGTCTGTGACGGTCGTGCTCACTGCTATGACGGCTCTGACGAGGCAAACTGTCGGGGCGTTTCTGCTCCTTCAGCTCCGGCAAACGTCCCGAAGTGCCGCATGGGCTCAAGGTTGTGCAATGATGGCAAAGAGTGCGTTTTATTCAGCCACGTATGTGACGGAGAGATCGACTGTTTGGATGGATCTGATGAGCAGGGATGCCAGGAAACCTGCAAAACAGGTTTTATTTTAAATTCTGATTTTATTTTATTTTTTTTCTCCTCCTCAGCATTACTGGTGGGATTTGGTTTTGTTGAACAGTTAATTTGTAAAAAAAAAAAAAAAAAAAATTTAGTCAATAAGTAAACTTATTTTAAGCACATTCTAGTGGTTCCCAACCCTGGTCCCTGAGGAACACCATCCTGCAGATTTGTTTCTCCACTCCAACACGCCTGATTCAGCAATTTAATTACTTGAGCAAGTTCTGTAGAAGCCACTTAATCATCCATTCATTCAAATCAAGTGCGAGGAAACAAAACCTGCAGGATGGTGTTCCTCAAGGACTACTGTTGGAACCCCCTGCATTAGACATTAACTTTAAGATTTAATTTCCTAGGAGAGTTTCAGTGTGCCCATGGGAAAATGTGCATCCCTGAGACCGAGGTGTGCGATGGGAAACCTCAGTGTCGGGATCAGTCTGACGAAAGGGACTGCTGGAAACAAACTAAGAGCTGTGAGCACCGCTGTGCTGATGCAAAACGCTGCATCCCAAAGAAATTCATCTGTGATGGAGAGCAAGACTGCCTGGATGGCTCGGATGAAGTAGACTGTGGCAAGTTCTCAAGTTTTTCAAGATTTCATCGGTCTTAGTGGATAAAAAGCTGGAAATTAATTTTAAGCAGTTTCTCATTGTGTTTACAAGCAAACAGTCAAAAAGATGTCTAGTCACTGAGCATGAAACGTTTTCTCTCTTTTAGACTTCAGTCTAGCCACAACAGTGTTTCCCCTCATCACCTCCCCACCAACTTGCTTCACTCCTTCAGTTCTGTGCCCAGCTTCATCAAAGTGTGTCTCTCAGAATCAACTCTGTGATGGCAAAAAAGACTGTCCTGATGGGTTTGATGAAAAGGACTGTGTGGTTCGATGTGAAAACCCAAGTAGGTCCAGCAATTATACATGACTTATCAAAAGTTGCAGACGTTCTCGCCCACAGGCGAAGGCGGATTGTCTGTAGCTTGAGAAAAATATCATGAACCAGAGGTTGAAAATGCCTGATTTCAAAGCTTTCAGGAATTTCAGACAACAAATCTACTCTCTTTGTTTTTATATACATCAGATGACTTCCTGTGCAGCGATCAGAGGAAGTGCATCCCAAGAACTCAAGTATGTGATGGCCGTGCCCACTGTCCTGATGGATCTGATGAGATTCAGTGTCATTCAGGCACTTGTAAGTACAAGAGAAATAAACCTAAATCTTGTAGCCTCAGTGCCTAGCAAGTGACCTTCTACACAAATGTACTTAGCTTTATTGCAGCAAGTTTGACTTGGATTTGTTCCACTGTCATGGCTTAGATGGCTCATCTGGTATTGCAAATTAATCTAGGCTATAAATGTTTATTGTATGGTAATACTTGACATTTGTCCCCAAGATGGATAACTTCTAGTAATTGGCTTTTATAATGTATGTGAATGTTTTTGTACAGACTTCTGTTGTGGCTTGGCACTCTGTAAATAAACTGAATGAATTGAAATTGAATTTAAAGAAAATGATCTGGGGGAAATTATCACTTTCTTTCTGCAAAGCTGTCACTACACCCAATCCAAGATCTGGCCCTTTGAAGTGCCGCACAGGTTTCAAGCTGTGTAGAAATGGCCTAGAGTGTGTGATGTACAGCCATGTGTGCGATGGTGAGATGGACTGCAAAGATGGATCCGATGAAGAGGGATGCGAGAGTCGCTGCAAATCAGGTCTGTTCTCAGCAGTATTTGAAGGAATAGTCAAAGGGCAATGATTGGATTGTAATTTCTTTATACCTCCAGGTGAATTCCAGTGTTCTCACGGGAAGAAATGCATCCCACAAGAACAGGTCTGTGATGGACGGAGTGACTGTCAGGATGGATCTGATGAAAAGAGCTGTCCAGTGTCGAGCGAGGGCTGCGATCATCGCTGTGACAACAACACTCGCTGTGTGCCGCAGACCTTCCTGTGTGATGGCGAGAAGGACTGTGCTGATGGATCAGATGAAGGAAACTGTGGTGGGTGAATGACACCTTCATTGACTTTGAACCCAAACGGTAAATTTCTGAATATCTGATGCTCATTTTTGCCTCTTCCCAGGTTCGGTAGCCTGTGCAAATAATCAGTACCGCTGTGCGAGTGGGCAGTGCGTGTCCGAGGCTTTTAAATGTGATGGATACCCTGACTGCAAAGACCATTCGGATGAGATGAACTGTCCACGACCCCCACGCTGCCCAGCAGAGCTCCGGTGCCCAAACAGCCATGAATGTTTGCAGAGAGAGTGGCTCTGTGATGGAGAAGAGGACTGCAAAGATGGCTCGGATGAAAAGGTAAAAAGTAACCTGAAGGGATGGAGGTTTAAATGGGCAGAGATGAGAAGGTAAAAGATGCTACAAGTGGTTTAGAAACGCTGTATTTGAATGATTTGTTAAACTTGTTATGGCTGCTCAGTCTTTAAAGTCTCAACCATATGAATTAACGTGCTTCGCAAAAGCTGTCAAATCAATTTTCACTTGAACAACTGGTAAACTGGTCATAACCATATTTGCATTACATTTTCAAAAAATGTATTTTGGATGACTCGAAGGGTTGCTTGAGCATCATCCTTCCAAACCCCAGTGTTGAATACACAAACTGCTGTAACTTTTGTCCAGAACTGCAACAGCGCTCCAGCAAAGTGCAGGAAGTACCAGTTTCAGTGTGGAGACAGCAGTCAGTGCGTCCCTCTGTCCTGGAGATGTGATGGGAAGAAGGACTGCTCCAATGGCTTCGATGAGGACAACTGTGAGCATGATCAGAATTATTTTTTTGTTTCACAGCTGCTCAGCTCCTGACTTACTGCTGCTTAACAGTTTCTGGAAAGTCTTTCCTTATTGATGTAAAAACACTTGTCTAAAATGATTTGCAACATTGTAAATTGTATTAATATGAAATTACTCTGTGCACTTCCACAGGCAGCCTAAGAATTTGTCCCTTCCACCTTTACCAGTGTGGCACTAAAGAGTGTTTGGAGCCCAAGATGGTGTGTAATGGTTTCACAAACTGTGCTGATGGCTCGGATGAAGGTGTGGGATGTGCTCAACGCAACTGCTCCAGTCCTTCAGCTCCTCTGTGCGATCACAGCTGTGTCAGCACCCCAAATGGACCGGTCAGTGGAATACTTTTTTTGGTTTAAAACACTTAAACTTGCTTTTTCTCACTTGGGGATTGTCGATGTGCTGCAACACTGCTGGCATATCCCTACAGAACTTCACTGACCTACACAAGGTGAGGTCAATGAACAAGGCCAGGCTGATTCTGGCAAATCCTGTTCACCCACTCTATAGTGAGTTCAGGTTGCTTCCATGTGGACGCAGGAATCTGCTGCCCAGATGCTGAACGAACAGACTGAAACTCATTCATCCCTGTAGTGATCAGACTTCTCAACAGTGATTTCTGTACTGTTTTAATGTATTATCTAATATGGGCTGTTTTGTGACTATTGACCGAAACAAATTATCCCTCGGGGATAATGAAAAAACTTTAACTTCTCAAACACGGCTTAATTTCCTGCTTGCTACCAAAGTTTGTAGACTATCACTTTTCCTGGAAATCTCTGAGGAACGTTTATTTAATGTGACTGCATTTTAATTTCCCCCAGAGGTGCTTCTGTGGTGCTGGTTACAAGCTACAGTCCATCTCAAAGTCCTGTGTGGACGTCGATGAGTGCAATTCAACACCAGGAGCTTCATGCAAACAGATTTGTCAGAATACACGAGGGTCCTACAGCTGTCAGTGCCACCCTGGGTTCTACCTCGAGCCTGATGGCAAAAGCTGCAAATCGAAAGGTGCAGGTAACTGTACAGGAACCTTAAATATATTAAATGTTTTTGTGTTTTCTGAGCTTATACGTATATTTTGTTGACCACCATTTCCAGGTGAGCCTTTGCTGCTTGCATCCGTGCAATCCGAGCTCTTGATCCTGGGGATCCATAGCAACAATCTGCAGCTCCTCTCCTTGGCCAACCGACCAGTCTTCTCCCTGGATTATGACATGGCTCAGCAGAGAGTATACTGGCTGAGTCCAGAGTACCAGAGTGTCCGCTGGGCTGACATGAAAACGTCCAACAAAGGGACACTGATTAAGGGTCAGGTTACTTATTGATTTTATGTCTTAAAATCTACGACCAAGCTTTGAAAGTGCCAACTAAGATCTGATCTGTTAGGAAAAAAAAACTTAAAATTAAGTTTAGATATTGATTTGCATTTGTGGATTTAATTTATTTTGTAGGTATTAAGTCTGATTCCATCGCAGTGGACTGGGTTGGTAAGAACCTGTACTGGGTGGATGGACTAGTTGGTCAGATTCTGGCAGTGAAGCTGAGCAACACCACAATGAGATCTCAGGACTTCACTGTGGTGCTTGGCGAAAACCTGGAGCAGCTAAGCTCACTTATCCTGCTGCCAAATAAAGGGTAAGGTTCGTCACCCTGGTTTAAGAAGAAAATTTAGTTTTTGTGCTTCATAACTTTCTGTTCTCAGGTTGATGCTGTGGTCGGAGATCGGCAGCATCCCACAGATTGAGCGAGCTGGGATGGATGGTTCACAGAGGAAAGTGGTGGTCAGTCGCGACCTGATCTGGCCTGTCGGTTTGGCCTACGACTTCATGGATGACAGGGTTTATTGGGCTGATGAGAAGCTGCACTGCATTGGCTCTGCCTCTTTGGATGGTTACAACATCAAGGTACACAAAATCCTAAACTATAAATCTCGACGCATGCGAGTTACGAAGGTTTGGTTTAGAATGCACGATGGTCAAAGTCTTTTTTTTTTTTTACTTTTTTTTTTTTTTTTGGTTGTACCTCTAAATAGAATGTTTTTTTTGTTTCACCAGATCCTCCAGTTGGCTGAAACTCCAAGCCCTTTTTCAGTGGCAGTCTTCAATGATCGTGTGTTCTGGTCAGACACGAAGAGAAGAACCGTTCGCTCGGCTGAAAAGAGAACTGGCAAAAATCAGAAAGTTCTTTTGAAGAAACCTGGGCAGCCATTTGGATTGAAAGTGAGGTCCCCCCCCCCCCCTCCCCCTTTACTTTATTTTTCCTTAAATGGTGATGTTGCCCTGATCTTAGTTTCCTGTCTCCTCAGCTGATGCACACCCTCTCCCAGCCAGTGGTGTTAAACCCCTGTGAGCAAATGCGTTGCTCCCATCTCTGCCTTTTGGCTCCAGGAATCTCTGCAGTTTGTCGATGCCCAAAAGGGCTGCTCCTTTCGCAGGACAAAATCACCTGCTCTCTGCCCAAAGAGTCTTCTTTCATCTTGCTCCTGTCCCATGACACAGTCAATCAGGTGAAATGAACTAAAGACGACAATCTTTGGATCTTGATTTATTTCCCTTCCTTTGCTTATTTTCTACTTTTTTTTTTATTTTTATTTTGTAGGTTTACTTGCGCTCGATGAGTCGTGATGGGATTGCACTGAAAAAGATGCCTAATGGCCGAGCCTTTGCCCTTCCTGGAATAAAAGGGGCTGTGAGCCTGGACTTTTCCATTTCAGAACTACTTCTCTATGTGGCCAATTCAAAACCTGGATCTGTGGATGTGCTGAGGCTCAGCAGGTCCAGGTCAAGTCCAAAACTTGTACTTGCAGGAAAAATTGTAAAGCTGCAGGTATGGATCTTCAAGCAAATTAATTTTAGTGTCCTTTGATAAATAACTGAATGCCATTTATCACAACGTATCAATATTGGTGTTCAAACATCTTTAATCGGCTGAACTGCTGTTTTGTGATGTATCCATCCTCCTTATTCCAGGAGGAGGATTCAGTCACAGCTTTAGCAGTTGACTGGGTAACCTCCAACCTCTACTGGTGCAGCAAAGAGAAACCGAACATCCACGTGACATCACATTCTGATGGCTACACCACCTCACTGCTGCAGGGATCTTTGGTGGTAAAACTTTATTAATGTCAACATTGTGGCAAATTAAGATGAGTTTAGCAAATAAGACTAATTTTGGGCAAAGCTAATGCCCATCTTTGTACCCTAACTAAAGCATTTACCGGTAATCTTAATTGTAGGTGCTGGTCATAAAATTAAAATATCCTGAAAGTAATCTCTCTTCCCCCCCCCCCCCCCCCAGTAATTCCATTCAAAAAGTGAAACTTGTATTCATTACACACATATTTTTGTATTTCATATGTTTATTTCTTAATGTTGACGATTATAACTGACAACTAATGAAAACTTCAAATTCAGTATCTCAGAAAATTAAAATATTGACAAACGATGCTAAAAAAAATTTTTTAGAAATGTTGGCCAACTGAAAAATATGAAGAAAAGTGAGCATGTACAGCGCTCAATATATAGTTGGGGCTCCTTTTTTGCCTGGATTACTGCAACAATGTGGCATGGCATGGAGTCAGTCTGTGGCATTGCTCAGGTGTTATGAGAGCCCAGGTTGCTCTGATAGTGGCCTTCAGCTCTTCTGAATTGTTGGGTCTGTATCACATCTCCCTCTTCACAATACCCCATAAATTTCTATGGGGCTCAGGTCAGGTGAGTTTGCTGGCCAATTAAGAACGGGGATACCATGGTCCTTAAACCAGATGCTGGTAGCTTTGGCACTGTGTGCAGGTGCCAAGTCCTGTTGGAAAATGAAATCTGCATCTCCATAAAGTTGGTCAGCAGCAGGAAGTGATCTAAAACTTCCTTTAGATGGCTGCATTGACTTTAAACCTCAGAAAACATAGTGGACCACCACCAGCAGATGACATGGCACCCCAAACCATCACTGGCCATGGAAACTTGACACTGGACCTCAAGCAACATGGATTATGTGCCTATCCTCTCTTCCTCCAGACTCTGGGACCTTGATTTCCAAAAGAAATGCAAAATTGACTTCCATCAGAACAACTTTGGACCACTCGGCAGCAGTCAAAGGCGAGATTCTTCTGACTCTCGAGAGTGGCTTGACACGAGGAATGTGACCGCTGAACCCCTCGTCTTGCATAAGTCTGTGTGTGGTGGTTCTTGAAGCACCGACTCCAGTTGCAGTCCACTCTGTGAATCTCCCCCACATTTTGGAATGGGTTTCACAATCCTCTCCAGGGTGCGGTTATCCCTATTGCTTGTAAACTTTTTTTTTTTTTTCTACCACATTGTTTCCTTCCCCTCTCTATTAATGTGCTTGGACACGGAGCTCTGTGAACAGCCAGCCTCTTTAGCAATGACCTTTTTGTCTTGCCCTCCTTGTGCAATGTGTCAATGGTCGTCTTATGGACAACTGTCAAACGGTCTTCCACATGATTGTGTAGCCTACAGAACTAAACTGAGACCATTTAAAGGCCTTTGCAAGTGTTGAGTTAATTAGCTGATTAGTGTGGCACCATGTGTCTTCACTATTAAACCTTTTCACAATATTCTAATTTTCTGAGATGCTGAATTTGGGGTTTTTATTAGTTTGTTATAAACGTTAACATTAAAAGAAATACACATGTAAAATATCAGTCTAAGAAATTAATATTAAAGTTTCACTTTTTGAATAGAATTACTGAAATCAACTTTTTCATGATATTCTAAGTTTGACAAGAACCTGTATAAATGAGTTTTTTTATTTTTTTTTTAACTTTATTTATTTTATTTATTTTTTTAAATCCAGGGAGTTGGATCCATCGCCCTGCATCCATCTTCAGGTCGACTCTGCTACACTGCAGTAGTAGTTGCGGGTGCGAAGAGCCAGGCGGAGGTTGATTGTGCCTGGATGGATGGCCGGAACAAAGTAGTGTTGTGGAGGAAGGCTAGCATTCCCATCTCTCTGGTCTTTTCTAAAGATGGAACCAGGATCTACTGGGCTGACAGTGGTCAGGGTTTAAATTAATATACAATTTTTATTTATTTATTTACTTTCTTTGCATCTATATAAACTAAAGTAATTTCTCTCAGGTGAAGGAGTAATCAGCTCTATTGGAGTGGATGGAGCAGAGTATAAAGAGTATAAAACTGGTCCCAATCTGCTCGTCTCCTTCACACGCATTGAGAAGGTCTTCTTCTGGATAACTCTGGAGAAAGGTGAGGATAAAATATGGCAGCAGAAAGTAATCCCCACAGCCTGTTCACACCTGTACTTAATCCTGCCCTGAAGATGGGAGATTACATTTTGACACTACAACTAATACTCAAATATAAAGTCAGACTTTGGGCTTAAATCCCAAAGCAAACTCCTGATCAAGACAATGTCTGAAATAGTTTCCAGTAATAAACTTGTGAAGATTCATTTGAACCTTCAGTCAGCAGATGGCAGTAGACAAAATGTTTTTCCGCCTCTAGTTTATTCTTCTAAAAAGCAAATGCACACAAACGGGCCATCAAAATTTTGAACTAATTTTTATATATTTTTTTTTATTATACATGTATTTTTTTTTTTTTTCTTTTACCTGTGTAGATGTAAGCAAGCTGTGGTTCAGTGATGGACTTCAGCCCAAACAGTTGTGGTTTCAAACAAAAGCCGGTGTGGTGGAAATGAGATCCTACAACAACGACAGCCAGTCCGGTGGGTCTCTGCTGCTTTTCTCTTCTGCTATCCAGCCTCATCTAAAGTTAAAGTATATTTTAGGACTTGTTTCTTGGACTTCATGTTTCAGTCGAAACGTAAATGTGCATAATTTGGTTAACAATAGAAGTAAAGCCTTTACAATTTGAATTTCCTCAATTTTGGAAAATTGTAAAGACTTCAAAGTAACATTTATGGTGGTGAAATGGCAGATAAAGTTCAGACTATGATTTGAAGTGGGGAAAATAACTTATCATAAAACACAATGGGTATAAAATCACATAATTTGAGCCTGTTAAATCACAAACTAAACAGTGGGACAAGTAAATGGACTTGATTCGGTAACGTCTCATCCGAGTGCAGACAATCTTCTGCGTTTTACATATATGTTTAAACTATATAAATTTAAAGCTTTTCTTTTAAGGCTGATAATTAGAAATGTAAACTTTCTTTGTAGCACTACTGCTTGTGTTGCTGAAATTTCACATTTCATGCATGCAAATTTTTTTTTTCTAACTTAGTATGACTTAATTTATAGATTAGTTCATGTCTGAAGAAAACACAGATTTTCTATAGCTGTTCTGGCAGCGCTCTACCATTTAGACGGGCATCATGTTCTCAAATTGCTTCACTGAAATCTACTTTATGCAACTCTTTAGCTCCTGCCCAGGTTTGTAATGCTGACAAACGGGCTTGCTTCATGTTGGCTAAATTTGGGATGGGTTTTGGGTTCAGTTTATTGCATTTGATTCAATGCAATAAAAAAAAACAAATTTAAAAAGTAACTGATCATTGCAAAACTTGGCTTATTTACATAATTTTAATTGCTGGATGTTCGGCCCCCGAGCTGTTGGCTTTCAGAAACTGTGCCCCCTGAGCAGTTTTGTTGAATTGCCCTGATTTAAAGGAATTGGTTTGTGCATTGTTCTAATTGCATGAAAACCTTAAGATACCATGTGTAGGCTCTACTGTATCACAGAATTGTTGGCTTTGTAAACTAAAGTGAAAATGAATTATTTTTGAAATGGTGATATTTCCTCAAGTGCTGAATGGTTTTGCAGACAGTCTTTTTAACCATCTTTATAATCCATCTTTATAATCCATCTTTATAATGCATTAGTTAGAAAAAATAGTTGTTTGTTTTGTTCTGTTACTTGAAGATAATTATGATTGAACTAATTGTTTGAAAAAAGGGGCAGATATAATTTTTCTTTCTGCTGCCTTTCATTTTAAATCTCGTATTTTTGTATATAGTTTATGGAATTGTTTTTTTTTTTTTTTTTTTTTTTTTTTTTTAAATGAATAAACTTTATACCATAATCCAAATATTGTTTAAAGACGAGTGTCAATGAAAATCTGATTCCTGCAACGATACAGTTTGATGCAACCAGAAACGCGTTTCAAATGGAGAAACCAGATTACCAACATAAAATTGTGATACTTTGCAAAAATTAAAATCAATAGCTAAATGTATATTTATAAAAACAATAAATGCTTGTGGTTAAATCATCAGTATTGAATGGCCTCTGTATTTAGGTCAAATTCTCCAACGTGTGAAGACTGCTGGCATAAATGCGTCCACCTGCCGTATCAGCAGCACTGATGTCCTGAGGAAAATGTTTTAAATCCAAAGTTTAGTCTTTGTCTTTTTTCCTTCCAGGAAGCAACAGCTGCTCGGAAAGGAACGGCGGATGTGCCCACCTGTGCCTGCACTATCCTGGAGGTCATACCTGTAAATGTGGGCGGGGCTTTTACGCCAATGGTACTTTCTGCAACCCACTGCCTTCCTGCCCAGCTGGAGAGGAATACTGCTTCGATGGCAGCGAGTGCGTCAGCAGCAGCAAGTTCTGTGACGGCCGTGTGGACTGTTCAGACCAGTCAGATGAGCTGGACTGTGAGTTTTCAACCCAAAACCATGAATGACCTCTGACCCCGAGGTCACCTTTTAATAACCACCCTGAACAGGCTTTCTTTAGTTTTACTTGATTATCCTGGACTCATAATCCCTTAATTTGATGTTTACATATTACTTAAGCTTTTAAAGAAACTTATTCATAAAGTTAAGTTTGCTTTAATTGACATGTTTAAAACATGAGTAATGTTAATTGAATGCAATTATCGTTCTGAAATCGTGTGAAATAACGTATATATTCCTGTTTTTGTTAAAAAAATAAATAAAAAAAAATCTAATGTGATGCACCACAACTTCAGTTCTTGAGGGGCAGAAATGACTATGCACATCAGATGGTGGTAAACTGTCTGCAAATTCCAGCTCTGACATTTTTAATGTCCTTGCTTGCAGGTCAAAAACAAACAAAAGAATAATTAACTAAAAAATAAACATCTGTTCTGAAGCTTAAGCCGTTGCGCTTCCCATCCTGGAGGCTTTATCAATTCTAAAATGTCTTGAAAGTGGAGCTTCAAGCTTTTAATAACTGTCTGATCAAATGGTTAAGATTGTATCTAAATATTGCGTGTGCAAAACAAAACTAATTTTGGTCCTAGAATTAATTTAAGAGAATCGTTTTAACAAAACTGCATCTATGTTGAAAGTTTTAGAATATATTTTTGTAATTGTTGAATGCAGTGTTAATTTTGAAATATTGAAAATTAAAAATGAAATGTTAAAATGAACAGTTGCCCATTTAAACTAACATTTTCTTTCCCTTCAGGTCCAACCTTGGATTCAGCCTCAAAGACCAGAGTGAGCGATCAGTCTCCCTCCCTCCATCCTGACCTCCACGAGTCCGTTCTGTCAGATAAAGACTCGGCCTCCTGCGATCTCAAACGCTGCAACAACCACGGCCGCTGCGTCGCCGAAGGCAAAGCCACTCGCTGTCTGTGTCTGCCCGGCTACAAAGGCCAGTTCTGTGAGGAGCAAAGCAGGAGGAGCCACCCTGCTGTCATCATGGTGGCTTTCTGCCTCGTCTCCGCAGTGATTGTGGCAGTTTTTGTTTTCTCTAAAAGGTACTGCGTGTGTTTGTCTTGTGCTTTAGTCGGGCAGTTAAATTTAGTGTTGCAGCAGCTCCTAGTTCGCTCACTTCATTCAAATTTACGTTTTGGTGCCTAAATATAATTGTCCTGAAATGACATGTTGCACTTTAAAGCAAAAAAGAAAAACGATGCTGAAAGCTTTTAAAATTTAAATTACTTTGATTTTCTGTTTGAACAGGAAAGGATGGAAGTACTTCAACAGGTCTCCAGATAAAGAAACTCTGATGGATCACATGGCTCTACCTGAACAAGATTCTGACTCGGAGGTATTGATGACTAAAAGCTGAGATGCTTCAAACTAATAAAATTCTCTTCAGGTTAACTTTTGTGATGGAAAAGTAAGATTGCCTTGTTGGAAATTTTTTATTTTTATTTTTTTTCTCCCCAGGAGCTGGAGTCCCAAGTAGATGTGAAGAAGCCCCTGCAAACATTAAAGCCAGTGCAGCTTGAATAAAACGATTAAAAAATTCTCATGCATTCAAGTTTTTTGTAATGTTTTTATGTCTAACAAATAATTTAGATGCCTCCAAAACTGATTCATTGTACTTGTCATGAATGCATAAAAACTGTCTTTATAATAAAATCATGAGCTTGACTTTGTTTTGATGTGTGGTAAAGAAATTGCACTAAAATCTTCATCTCATAAAATTATAAAGCACTATTTTTTTTTTATAATGAGGGCATTACACAAATGGTTTAAATCAAAATTGTATCCAGATTCAATCAATTCCTGTCATGGTACAGAACTTTCACTTGGAGCATTATGAAACTACATTTGGTCAAATCTAACAAAGACATTGTGGAATCTCTTCTTTGATTCCCAGTCCTGAGCAGCTCGATGGTGACTGTGGGTGGGGACATGAGAAAACGCTTAAATAAGAAGAAACCTCTTCAGAACTAATTGCGACGCACAGCGATCTGTCTTGGCTGGCTGAAGAGGACAGGAAGGAAATGACTCGATTGATCCAAGGTGGTGTTTTTAAGTTGAGATAAAAAGCTCAATGGGTGCAATGGTTGCAAATGCAAAGGGTAAAGACGGCAACAAAGTGGGAGGGGAAAAATGTGATCAGTTTGTCCAACTGTGGCATGGATGGAGCTCAAGAAACCAAGGCAACCCTATATCCAAGATGCCTGCTAGTGATTGTAAAAATTTTGATGACTCTTTTTTTGTGTGTGTGTGTGAATGGTTGCATTCAGTTGTAAAAGTTATATACAAAAATAAAAACTTTATGAATAACGTACTTCCTTACAACTTTCAGAGACTAAGTGTTGCGTCTTTCAGGAAGCACCCTTCCTGCTTGCTCTCGACAGACGGACACTTTTCCCTCCTCCTGCCTTCCTCCTGCTTCTGCTCTCTTGTCCTGTGAATCTTTGTCAGAGCATCTCTTTACACATCTTCCAAATTGTAAATTATGAATCTGGTCACCTGGTCTCTCAATGCAATTGATAAAATTTTCTCAAGAAGACAGGGCGAAGGAGAGCCCTCATGTCCTGATGGGACACTCAGTTGGATACACTATGGGTTCCTTGGGGCAGTGGAAGATGGTGTGTTTGTCTCTATTGTCCATTGAGTATGTAGAAGACGTGTACATAATTGGATTTATAACGGGTTTTCTGCTTTTTTGGAGTAGGCAGGTATCTGGCATATCCATAAATTTGGAAGAAGTCTGCAGTGGTTCTGGCAGTTGAGACTGCCTGCCTTGTGTGAAGGAAAGTACCGTCTGCTGTGCTTTGAGCACTCGGACTCAGATGCTTTGTGAGCTAAGCCATAAGCTGCACGCGATCTCTGAGAATCACAGGCCACATGCAGCTCCTGGAACTCTGGTGTATCGACCTTGGAGAAGGCTGCAAACACGGCCCAGCGGCGTGACCACAAAATTAGTCTGGAGTCGCCATTGAGACGTATCAGTAGAACTATGCAGGCAGACGAAAAAAATCAAGCAGAATCGGACTATCCCAAAACAATTATCTGAGTCTGGCTTCCCCATGTGACCTTGAATAGGCCAACTGTCTCAAATTTCTCCTGGAGGTTGTGTGAACAAGAAGCCCCCCCCCCCCCCCCCCCCCCACTCGAAGACATCTGTGGATCAGAGCTGAGCCAGCTGATCGACACTGCCATCTCATCAGGATTATGGAATTTTCAGTGTCCACGGACAATTCGCCACCTTTATTGGCTTCCTCTTGCATAAATGCATGTCAGTATGTTCATGTTTATGTGCGAGATCTTTTTTGCAACTTTCACACTGCCCCGGCCAGGACATAGTGCGAGATATATGTATATATATATATTTTTTTTTTTTTTTTACCTCCCCTCATGTTTCTCTTTTCCTTATCTACTTTTGTCTGTCTGAAACAGGTCTTTCTTGTAAACGAGTCCTCGAGTCTCAATGGGAACTGACCTGTATAAATAAAGCTTGAATGAATGAAAGTTGCTTGTAGCCTGAAACTAGCTGGTTAGCTTATCTTAGCATCTTAGCAAGGCTATTCAACTAAATTGTTCAGGGGGCCTTACGGAGCTCAGGGGCCGGACATCCAGCAGTTATTGTCCTTAAGTTTCTTTTATGGTTCAAAATCTAGTTTTATTTAAAAATGAACCCATTGGTGGGCTGAACTGAGTTCACCCATGGCTTCATTTGGCCCCCTGGCCTCCAGTTAAATGACCCTGACATAGTTTGGCTTAGCTTAGCTTGCAATGAAAATTGATTAGCCTTGTTTTGCCCAAGCAGTTGTTTTAAAGTTATCTGACATAAAGCAACATGAACCTCACCCCCAGGGATCATGTGTTTTTGCACGTGAAACATGTTCACTGATCATGTGACATGTGGAGCACAGATTTTGTTCATGTTTGGGAATTTGGAACAAAAACTACATCAACTTCACAAGTGCTAAACAAATTTCATATTTGCCTGTGAAAACATATTTGACATGTAAAACATGTTTTGCACACATCTTCTATGTGATTTTTGAAATAAAATTTTTAAAAAATTATCACATGTAAAAACTCTGGTATTTCATGGGTTCAGCTTTTATAAGTTCACTGCAGATTCCCATAACCACTGTGTTTATTCTGCTTGACCAATTTGTGACAAACTCGAGGACAGAGGGCCAAATCTGACCGTTGTTAACATCCTATCTGGTCCTCAAGATATTTTAAACGTAAAATATTTTTATCCCCTCTCATTTTGTTTAAAAACCCAGCATACTTAATTTAGTGCAGACGTCTCATGATGGTTGGTCAACTTTGACACCATGAAAAACTTGTGCGAATTTTTCAGGAATCTATGATTTTGATGTGGAAAGAGCGACAGAAAATGTCAAATGGCTTGAGTTATTCAGTTTTTAAAACTAATATTTGGTATGAATCTAGTTTTTGTTTTGGTGCCCTTTTGTGACCGAGTTTGACACCCCTGAGGTTTTTGTTCTGTTTTTGTTTTGTTTTGTTCTCTTGTCTTTAATGAGAACCACCTGTTTCAGGTAAGAGCCTCATTTGCATATCACATGCTCTATTAAAACCTCGTTCTTCACCTTCTGTTTATCCAGACACTTGTTTACTGGTGTTATTTAGGCGTTTAGTTTGACCTTTACCCTGGAACAGAGACGAAGCAGCTTTTAAGTTTGCTTTTAATCTGATATGGGAGCTGCTTGAGCTCCATGTTTACTTTGAGACTCGTGGCGATTGTCTCAGGGTTAGCAAGAAAGGTTGGTCCCTAAGTCTTTAAAACGACTTACACTTTATATATGGGAACAATTTAGTTGGAAAATGTTGAATCGAATGAACAATTGATGGACTTGAAGGCTTTGATACTTTTTAAATTTACCTATTATCATATTAAGCTCACTTCTGTTTTTCTGTGATTGTACTGTCAATAAAAAAAATAAAAATTCATGGCACCTGCTTGTTTTTACTCTGATTATGAAATAAAATTAAACTATTTTTTCAAGTATTACTTTACAAATCAACCTCTTTTGTCAAATTTAAACAGTTGAATCCTCTATAAAAATTATCAGTTTCAATTTTATGTCACCAAACAGGATTTACTTTAGATATGCAACGTCCCATTTTAATGTATTACAGTTAATAGTTTAATTACTGGGAACAATACTTGAGTCATCCCAGAGAATTTGCAGACTATATGAAATATTTGGGCCTCTAGAATGATCAGGTCTTCACTGAGACCACCTCTAAGCTATTCTATAAGTTATTATGATGCATCTTGTTCAGCAGTTTGCACCATATATATATAATAGATGCCTGAGCTACTCTATCCAATAAAAAAAAAACATTGAAAAATCCTCATTTTATTTATTTATATTATGAACCTATTATAAAAGAAAACTACGTAGATTCAAAGAATGACTTGATTTTTGTAATTTCTTTCCTGTATTTACTTTTAGCTTTGAGTGTTCCTTTGAACTGAGAAGGGCTAAAAGATTTTATTTGACATGACTGTTTCCATTTTTCTACAATGATGACTCATCAGGATAAAATGATAAAGTAGGCGTTGGGTTAAAAGCAAAAATAGAATGTGAATCTATCCCTGGCAGACCACAGGAGACGCAGCTGCTGCTGAAACGTCGAGCATCCTTGTTGCATTAACCACAAGGTGATGGCTGTGATTTGTGTCGACTAATTCTAGAATTGCAATTCTGTAATTGCGCCGCTCAAGGTAGCTGCAAGCTGGAGCCCTGTTACGTTCATTTTGGGATGTTGCTTTTGAAAACTTTAATTCCTTATTTTATGGATGTAAATTGCTTATTTTGGATGATTTCCTGTGGTATCGGATGTTGTGCAGCAGCTGGAAGGATTCATCTCAGCTCAAATAACTCAATTACAGTCCCAAATCCCAAATTAATTTGTAAAGGAGGCGCCATGGATGAATCACCATCTACCTGGTGGCGATGCTCGAGTACCTGACCGTCGAAATCCCAGAGCTGGCTGGAAACGTGTCTCGTGACAACAAGAAGACCAAGATCATCCTCGGACACCTGCAGTTGGCTGTCTGTAATGATGAGTAGCTCAACAAGCTGCTGGGAGGAGTAACAATCGCTCTGGGAAGAGTTCTGCCCAACATTCAGGTGGTCCTGCTGCCCAGGAGGACCGAGAGGCCCACCAAGTCCAAGTAAACGGATCAACATCTGTCGCCAGTTTCTTCAGATCTGCTATAAGACGAACCACCACAAGAAATCCTTCCTGCCCACTGCCATCAGCATCTAGAACAACTCTTTAATGAAACCAGGAGAATGAGCTGCAACAACATGTAATCTCCCTCTGGGATTAAAAATGTATGTTTCAATTGAACTCATGTTTGGACTCAATCAATGAGCAGTTACAATTAAAAAAAAAACCATGTATGTAACAGTAAAACATATTGTCTAATGAGAAAAAAAAACACATTTTAAAAACAATGAGACGGTAAATAATTTTAGGAGGATGACATTTTGGTTTTTAAAGCTATTATTTATGTTTTAGTATGACTTAATGTTTTTCCGGTGTTGCACTGTTTTATACACTGGCATGTCAGGTTTGTCATGCACTGCCAGGTGAGTCTTGCTCTGACATGCCTGCTCCTCCCTCCGTCACCTTATCTCCCAAACACACCTGCAGTGCTGTGTTTTCAGCACGAGTTTAAAACAGAACTGAATCTGTACTTGTGTTTTAAACGTATTTATGTTCGTAATTTTGCACCAACCTTTTCATTAGAAATGTGTCAGCAACGCTGCACAAAATATACATTTCTTCTCAGTCATTCTCCAGAGTTATAATGTGTAAATCAACTAAAACAAACCAAATTATGCAACGAGGCAATGCTCACCTTGTGAAACACTAAATAAATTGCCAGAGCCCTGCCAGGTCAACTGATAGCAGGAGTGTGTTTGAATCTGCTCACGTAAAAATAAGAAAAGAGGGAGGAGGCGATTTTAGGTGCTTGTTGGTGAGGGGAAAAAACCCGACAGGTTTCAGTTTTCTTCCTCTAATCTCCTCCCTTTTGGCAGATTCCTTCACAGAAAGAGGAACTTGAAAAATCCAGTCTTCTCAGCAGACGACCCTTTAACAACAACCGCAGCTCCGGCCTGTTTAGACCTATACATGACTTCTTTTGTGTGAGTACAGATTTGATTTACTTATATGTCGCAGTGCTGTCTCATGTTTCAGCAGATCTGAAACGAGCTCAACCCAAGCTGACTAAGAACAATGTCGTTCGAGGACACATTTTCACTAACTCTTTCATGCGAATGCAATCATAGACTGATTTCATGTTGAACTGTTTGCTGTGATACCTCAAAATCGGTGATGCAGAGTTTTGTTCAGCAGCTTAAACTGCATGTTAAACTGCATGGGTCCACTCTGCTGTTCACTTTATTTATGACTTTGATGTCCACAAAGCTGTTTTTCTTCTTTTGCCATTGTATGACTCCATTTATGTCTTTTAAATCTGTGCAGCAGTGTTGTGCAAGTCATGCAGTCAAGCTTTCCCATTTGTGATGATTTAAAAGTAAAATATGTTTAAGGGCAGGGCAGAATACTTGGAAACCTGCATGTGAGCGACGGGGCTGATTGTCCTTCGCTTTGTTTCTCAGAAATTCCTGTGCAAAAAGGAGTTGGCGTTAAACTGCACTTTTTTTTTTTTCAAATAATAAATTAAACAATATCATATAATTTGCTTTGATGATATTGTAGAAACGACAGAAATTGTGTGGGTTGTGCAATAAGCCATTTTGAAGTCATGAAGATCGAAAACGTTGGCATTAAAGACAGTAAGTTGTTACGTTCTCCCATTAACCTCTGATCAGATCAGATCAGATCTCATTCTCCTGACCTGAACATATTTTAGCTGCTACTTGCTCAAATATGAGAAACACTTCCTTTTAAATGGATGCAACCGAGAGCTTTTGAAAACGTAGAGAGATTTTTAACAGTTATGACATTTTAAGCAAAGTTCACGTTTGTTATAAAACTTTAGTTATGACTATAACTCATATGAGTTACCCTGAAGTAGAACGGCTCTAATCCACCCTCAGGATGTTGGACTCAGCTGTTCTCTTTCTCATGTGTCTTTATTATGTTTTAAGGTGTGCCTTACCAATTCATCTTCTTTGTTTCCCTTTTTTCCCACGTTACTCTCCTCCCCACAGACTCTAGTGTTTTTGTGCTGCAGTCGCTCTTCTACGATGGAGATCTCGTTGCCGCCGGAACAACCAAGTGGCATTAACTCCAGCCTGTCCACCTGCAGGGACGCTCAGTGCGGCAGCCATGGCACCTGTGTGGCTTCTCCAGGGGGCGGCACTAAGTTTGTGTGCGACTGTGATCTGGGCTATAAAGGTGAATTCTGTGAGGGCACGTTCAACGGGGCGCTAAGTGTACCGCTGACCGTCAGTGTGTTGGTCATCGTCGTCGGTCTGGTGATTCTCGCTATTGTCATCGCTAAACTGCAGCAGAAACGAAAGAAGAAGCTGCGGTAAGTAGAGATCCCACAAACATCTGTGTATTTTGAACAAGTCTAAATGATTATTTATGACTCAAGCAAAGGAGTTAAAACATCTTGGAGTCTTGTTCACAAGTGATTATGGGATGCATTGAGGTGGAGCAAAAGATGGGGGTCTGGTCTGCAGTAATGAGGCCGTTGCTCCGGTCTGCTTTGAAAGGGAGTTCTGTCTTTGACCTGCTGCCTCTATGACCCGACCACAGATGAGCTGCAGAAAAAGGATGAATTATTTTGAATATGATTTTTAATGAATCTAGAGTTTAGAAATGAGACTTCATGATGTTTGATAAGAAACTGTTACATGCTACCATAAATTTTACTGAAGAAGTCCTTTGGATAAAAGACAAAATTTCTCAGCACAAAAAGAAAAGAAAAAAAATGTCCAGATGACCTGACTGTTGGATTTGTACCTGGATTATTGAGCATGAACTTTGGTGTTTTGAACCATGTTAGCATGGCTGCTTTAGAGGAGTTGACGGTGGAGAGGGTGGGCCACAGACGCCAGCTTATCACCAGCAAACTGTTTTTTTTTTCCACTATGGGAGTTGGCGCTTGTGGGACTCCACTTTGTTTTGTGGCTCCTCTGACTGAATAAGTGCTCTGGATGAAGAATGAAACGTCTCAGAAAAAAAAAAAAAAAAAAAAAACTGCCCAGATGACCTAACTGAACATTGTTGGATTTGTACCTGGATCATTGAACATGAACTTTGTAACTTTTAGGATGTTTTTTTTTTTCCTACAGACACTCGACACACAATTTGCTGAGATGGTTTGTGTCTTTCAGCCTTGTTTACAAAGATTTAGCACATTTGGTGACTAAATATTGTGCACTGAAGCCTGAATCTTGAACAACTGATGACTTTCATGTTAATCACCAGGATTTGTGCTCATTTTGCTCTACTCAAACAACTGTATTTAAAGTGGGTTTTTTTTTTTGTTGTTGTTGTTTTTTTGAATGAAGTAAAACATTTTAGGAATATATCCACTTAAGGGCACTGTAACATCTGTTGGGAATTATTTTTATTTTTTTAATGAAATAAATGGCTAAAGTTTTCTGCAAGAGGTGTTTTGTAACCAGCCCCCTTGAGGCTATCTGTGGTATTGTATTCAAAAGAACTTCTTCATTGGCTTCGCGTTTCAGACCGCCATGTCCATCTTTTATCATAGTGTTTTTTAAATCCAGTTTTTGCAGCACAATATGTATATCAGTGCAATATAAACACAAACAATATATTTTTTGTGTTTTGTCGACAGAAGAAACTTGGATGCAAAACATGGCTACAACATTGTTCTTTAAGGAAGGCAGATCTCAAATGCATCAAAGGTAAGCATGAAGACATTTAGTCATAAATTATTTTAGTGATGGAAATGGGCTATTTTGAACCAGTTTCTTTACTGATAAAATGTTCTGATATTTTACCATAAATGTTTTGAACAATATTTCTAATTCATCAACAAGATTTAATACATCTTAATCAGGAACGCATAGTAAAAAAAATTGTATGTTGATCAAAATCTCAACTACTGTAAATACCATTTAAGGGTGACGTTTATAGTTATGTCCTTTATTGTTGTGTACTTTATTATATTTTGAAAATGTTAGATTTTGCTGCTCCTGATTTGAACAAAACACTACATTTATTTTTTTTATTTCCCTCTAATTTGCATCTCTATAATAACATTTAGCTATTATGTGTCTTCCTTGTGGATACTTTTGCATGGCTTTTTTAAAATCTATTCAGCTTATTAAAAAGAGAACATTTTAAATATTTTTACACACAGAACACCCGCTTCAAATGTTATCAGCCATTAAATGGTCATTATTAATTGTTATCATCTCCATATGTAGCAGTCAGACTGCCCCTCCTGTACCTCCTAGTGGGTTTAAAGGTACGTTGTTAGCGTTAGAAAGTCAATGCAGCCATGATGCTCTGTGTGAGAAATAAATATTGTATATAAAAAAGTAATGTATGCAAATAAAATGATGAGCTTCTAGATGAGCATGTGCAGTTGTGCACATGTGCATTATTTTAAATGTTAAAAACCAGATTTTTTTTTTTTTTTGCCACAGTATAATTGAACTGAGTGTAATTTCTCTCTATTTTGTCTAGGTCAATAAACATTTTGTATAGTGATGCACCCACTGAAGTTTGAGTCTGACGACCTGAAGCATCTTGGCTGATGAGTCCGTTTCTATCATCAAACTGCAGATGGCACCATCATGGCCCCTCCAGTTGCTAAGTTTGCACAGTTCCAGATGGGTACAACAAAAGAAATGTGCATATATCAAATATCCTTTTTGATTTATTTACATATAGATGAGTAAATGCATGTTTTTGACATTTTATTAAGAATGATTTGACCTAATGGCATTTTGTATTTTAGCAATAAACAGCATAATGTTCGTGCAGCTAACAGCCTATACATTTTGTGCAAATGTTTAACAAACTTTCAGCAGCATCTTACATACTGACAATCAACACATATCAGGTTTGGTCTGTCTTTGGTCCAAATTTACCTTCTTTTGCATTTATTTAATGCTAAATACAGCTTAGCACAATAATTCACATGCATAAGTTTCTTCTTTTTACAGTAAAAGCATGGGAAAGTAGATTTTGCTGCAGTGAAAAACATTTGTTTATGAGAGATGTGAAATAATTTATGGCACCAATTATATTTTCTACACGTTTTAAAATAATTTTACACAGAACATTTTTAGTTTGGCCTAAATGCTGTGATATAATAATACAAATAATAATAGAAAATAAATACAAATGTGCAGATGCTCCTAACTTCTTTAAGCACCTTTTGGAGGATTTGATCAGAAGGAAGTTCTGGTCTTTATATTCTTAGCAGATTAAAAACAAATACTCTTAAAAGCATGGAGCGTTCCAGTTAACAACATTGTGGATCCAAATTTAAATGCACGGAAAATAGTGGGCGAAGATTTAGATCGAGCATGAACAATTTCCTTTAAAATTATATTAAAATATCAGACTAAACTAAAATTGACGGGATTTTTAACTACATTTTTATGAATTATAAAAAACCTCTAACTGAAAATCAAAGCTTTGCAGTATTTGAGTCAACTCAAAATGCGTTATCAACTTATATTTTTAGCTAACTCGTTTGTTTCTTTATTGTACACAGTTGACTGAAATGCCTTTATGCTTCAAATCTATCACCAAATAATCACACACAGTTCAGCAAACACACACTGAGGCTTTAATAAATGTTATAGTTTTATGTTTTGAGACTGTATTGATTTAAATGTTTAAAATCAGTGGGTCCCAACCGTGGTCCTTGAGGAGCACCGTCCTGCATGTTTTGAATGGATGGGTGATTAACAGGCTTCTGCAGAACATGAAGTAATTAAATCACTGAATCAGGCTTGTTGGAGCAGAGAAACAACTGAAACATGTAGGATGGTGTTCCTCAGGGACCAGGGTTGGTGAACCACCTGCTTTATTTGTACATTGATGATTGATGGATATTAAGCAAAATTACTGGGTCAAAATAAAGAGAATGAACTTTTAACGCTCATTAAATCAGCAAAGTGTCGACGCGTTGATGAATTTGTTAACAAACTTGACACAAGTGACCATTTTTGATCAGAGCATGTGCTGTTTTTCATTATTTTAATATTTTGTGTTCTGTCACAAACTTATGTTTATTAGAATACAGTCAGACAAATAATAATCCAGATGTATTTTCCTAACACGTACTCATATTGAAGTTTTTACTTTGGAGTACGATGACCGTTAAAGAACAATTATGTTGTTAGGATGATTAGAAGATTGCGTTCATTGACATTTTCAGTTTTTGCCTCTTTACTTGCTTAAAATGCTTCACCTTATTTATTGGCACCCAGTTTAACACGAATAGCTGCATTTATTTCACTTTTTATGTAAACACTTTAACCTAGTTTGTATAAAAGTACAAAGTTAATAATCTCGATCTCTCAAAGTACTCATGTGTTTGAATAAACTATTTTATTGCCTCTTTGTTTCTTTCATAACGGCAATTAACTTTTATTTACTTGTTTAGTTTTTTATTTATTTATTACGTTTTACAGGTTCTTGCTGGATAAATATGATATGCATCTGTTTATACTGTAGTTTGTTTTGAATTGAGTTCAATCTCTGCGGCAGGTTTGTGTTTTTGAAAATCTCAGTTCTGTTTCTGAATATTTCAGTGTCTAAACAATATCAGTGTCGGCTGGAGATACTCGACTTGCATAAATGCATAAATTAAAAAAAAGACAACAGTTGTGGTTTCCTGAGACTGTAGGGAACTACACTGAGGTGATTCCACATCAATAACTTCTCCTATGGTCATCCTGTTTGAGCTGCAGAGCTGTAAAACACAAATACTGCGATGCTGAATGACTTAAAAGGAACTCCCTCTCCCCGATGCGATAACAAGTTCAATTGTGACAAATCATGCAACTCTTTATGAGAAAATAGATGTTTTTTTTAAGAACGAGGTTACTTTAAGCCACAGTTTTACTGTGGGGTAGATGTTTGTTTGTGGATCTAGTTAAAACAAAATGTAGATGATGATTCTTCTGAAGCAAAAAATCAGTGCATTTCCTGTTCTGTCATGATCAGGGTCACTGATTTCTGTGCTTTCAAATGTTTCACACAATATTCCTTTCAGCTAATTTTAACAAACTGCATGAAAACGACTCCTGCTTACATGAATACTTAAAATGTCACACTGGTAAATATCAGCGGTTTTCAAAGGGTTGCATCCGTTTATAAGTATCCAATTTCATTGTTTTTACCTAATTTTACAAAAGCTGTCTGTTGTGACAGATTTCCCAATGAAATCCAGTTTCCACTTCACAGATCAGCGAGGCATGCTAGATGGAACTAAGTGATGTGGGTAAATATTACAAGTGCACTTTTATCTACAAAGTGCAAAAGTATTCATCATTTTTATGAAGACAAACTAGACTTATGTCGCTTGTGAAGATGGACGAACCTTACAGCATAATTATCAGTGCAGCTCTACAACTAGATATCCAACAGCCTCAACAATATTTGTAGGATGGTATCCCTCTGTCGGTCTCCCCGTGCCTATTCTCCCAAGTGTCTCTCCCTAATTACCCTGATCAGTTCCACCCGTGTGTTCTAGGTGTTTGTAATTATGTCTCCTCTAGTATAGTATATCATATCGTATAGTATTTAAGCTCTGGTCTGGGTCTCTGTCATTGTCGGTCCATCGTCTGGTATCCTCCTATGTTCCCCGAGATGTCCATGTCCTGGTCTTGTAAGTTCATGCTACCACGTAAGCCTGTTTGTTTCTCGTTATTATTAAAGTATTTCTTATTTTACATCCTCCCTTCAAGTCCTGCCTGCAACGGGTTCATTCCTGCTCTGCCCGCCGAAAACTCTTGACAATACTATCCATATTACCGTACCTGTCATTGTACACGTCGCACCACCGTCTAAGTCGCATCAGTACAAATATGTCTAATGAAGTGGGGGGAAAAAAAACAAAACATAAATAAGTCGCTTCACCGTATAGGTCACATCTATTATGCATCACCACCCAGCAATGTGGGCTGGTGTTGTGCCAAAAATCAATTGGCTGCCAAATGGCGGCCGCGGGAGCATGCACGGGAGGACTTTAACAAGAATTTAACAAGATTAACACTTAAAAACAATTGTTTGCTCGAAATTATAGCAAAGGTGTGTCTCAGTTTAATTTTTCCTTTAATAAATGCACTTTAACAGTCAAATCAGCTGCAATTCGCCTGGGCGGAGCGGCAAAATGCATGCGGATTTGACGTTTGCTCCAGGAGTTCCGGAGCAAGACGAAGATGGCTTAGTATGGCAAGCCAAGTGTCTCATTAATAGACATTTTTACCTATTAATGAGACACTTGGCTTGCCATAAAGTGCAAAGGCCCTCTAGTAGCTTCAAATGGTAGTGTGCAATATATTCCATGTCAGAATGAATGAAATCGTCAGATCTCAGACAATAATTGGGTTATAAATATGGGGAACAATTAGTTGCTTCGGTGTATAAGTTGCAGGACTTGCAAATTTATGCAAAAAGGTGCAACTTATACGCTGGCAAATACGGTAGGTCAAACAACACTGGCCGTGTCAAATTGTGACGATTGCTGGGACGATTAAAACACTGGAAATAAAAAGATTTGAAACTTGAACTGAGGGTGTAATCTAGAAAGGGAACCCTTGAGATCTCAGGCTTTGAGGGAAAGTAACAGAAATGATCATACAGTGAAATAGTTTCAAAACCTCCACAACTGCTTTGACAGAGCAGATCAACGCTTCAGTGTCTGAGCCACAAGAAGTGCTTTAATAACTGTAATGATAACTTTAACTTCACTCCAAAATCTGGCTCACCTTAACGCTCAACAGGTCGTGCAGGGATAACTGCATTGCAGTGTCTTTCAAACATTTTAATTACAAAAGAGAAACCTGGAACCTCACCTTTACTCCTTGTTCAAACAGAAAGATAATGTCGTCGTACAAGATGCATAAAGGGCCCAACCTCTCCGACAGGTCTGACCACATTGTCTGTATACTTAAGAGGTTGAGACGATGAAGCAGGTGAAAGAGGAAAACAGAAAAACAACCCAAGCGTTTGTTGAAAGACTAAAATTTACATCTATAAAATCATTCAAATATATTATATCTATCTTCCATCCGTATCAGATTGATTTAGCTTTGTTTCTGATGAGTTAAATTAGTTTTTTTTTTTATTTATCAAACAAACAAGACTGTGAAGAAACAATGCACATTTAATAGAAAGACCTGCAGAAGGGTAAAACATGCACACTGCAATATGACCTCCATTGTAAAGTGCATGAAAACCATGGAAGGAAAAAAGATCGATTTGACTTCAGCAACACAAAAGCAATAGAAATGAACTTTAAATCAACATTTTTTTAAACAGTTTCCACCAATGATTCATTCATTTTTTTTAATGTCACAAGTTTCTTATAAAAGATCAAAACATGCACTGCTTCAGGCACTCAGCTTCCTATTTTGGTACTTTGTGGTGATCAGTTCTTATCTTCTTACTACAATACTTTAAAAGTCTGTTTGATCTCTGCAAACTTCTCCTCGTGCGCTTGGATCATAGGTCTGCGTCATAGGGTCTGCCGTTGAACGTGCTGTTTGCGGACTGGGCCCCGGGGGTCTTGGCCCTGGGGAAGGACACATCATCGTCCAGGGAGTCCTTGGAGTAGGGCACGCTGCTGCCCCCGCTGCTCCTGGTCCGGCTCAGGCTCGGGACCTCCAAGCGCCTCGGCTCGGGTTTGGGTTGGGGCTGGGGCTGTTGCGGGTGCTCGCGCCTGTACTGGCGCTCGATCTCGTCGTTGAGCCGCCTCTCCCCGCGGTTCCTGCCGCCGCAGCAGCGGCAGATCCCGATCGTCATGACGATGCCGCCCAGCACCTCGAAGATCCCCCCGATGTAGCCCAGGACGATGCAGTAGCCCACTTTAATGGTTGTCCCCGACACCATGTAGATCGACGTGATGTTGCCGATTTCGTGCGTGTACCAGGCGATGGGGATGATGGTCAGGACGCCGGAGCAGAAGAGCAGAATTCCGGCGATCGCGGAGACGACCCAGTTGGGGTTCTCCCTCCAGCAGCGCACGCCCGGGATGGCGACACCCAGACCGATGAGGGTCACGACCAGGGAGCCGACCATCATCCCCTGCGCCACCGTCACCACCTGGTTTTTGAAGTACCCGTCGTCCAGCAGGCTGCACCCCTTCTGTTGTCCGGCTGTGTTGCTTTCACAGATGGCCCAGATTCCCTGTTCGATCACATACTCTGATGGTTTGTTTGGAATATTGTTGAAGGTCCTCCACTGTGGGGCCACGGTGCTGGTCAGGTTCAGGACCCACCCGCAGGGGCCCATGACCAGCCCGAAGATGAGGATGCCCGGAGTGCGCAGGGACCTCCGGACCCACTGCGTGTGTCTCTCCCTCCGGAAGAAAAGCCCATAATCTTCCGGCATGGTTGCTGCTGGTGCTGTGTGCTCCAAGGAACAGAAGCGAGTGACTTCTGACACCAAACTGATGATTCTTAAAAAAAAAAAAACAACAACAACAACTGAAACTTGACAGGAGGAGAGGAGGAGGAGGAGGAGATCCGACGTTCCTGTTTGTCTCCGCACGGACAGGTGTGGCGCGCCGGCGGGCGGGGCTCTCTTTATCTTCACCTGCACCGAAAGGGGGAAAAAAAAGAACAGAGGAGTTTCGAGGAGACTTTTTCTTATGCAAATGTGTGATATCTGATAAAGAACAGAAAAGAGATAGAAAAAAAATCAGTCTACTTGTTCTGTTCTTGAATTGTTGCCAGCTGTTTTTTTGTTGTTGTTGTTGTTTGTTTTTTTTTTTTTTACCAATAAATCCTAGGAACCTTAAAAATCTCGTTTAGTTCTTGAAGCTAAATGAAAAAGGAACACATTTAATTACAAAATCCTGCTTTAAAACATCATAAATAGAACATGCTAAATTAATAAACTGCTTTGAGGATGCTGATGAAGTACACAGAGGGTCAGAGTGAACTTCACTGCATCTTTGTGGATTTAGAAAAAGCATAGCATAGGGTGACGAAGCAGAGAAGTATATTAGACATAGGACATGTATGAGGACAGCAGGACAGTGAGATGTGCCATAGGAGTGACAGATAGCTTCAAGGTAGAGCTGGGAGTGCATCAAGGATCTGTTCTGAGCACCCTCTTGTTTGCTCTTGTGATGGACCGACTAACAGATGAGGTCAGGCAGGAATCCCTGTGGACTATGATGTTTGCAGATGACATTGTGATCTGTGGTGGGAACATGAAACAGGTGGAAGAGAACTTAAAGAGGTGGCAGAACATGAAAGAAGAGGCATGAAAGTCAGCCCTACAAAGTATATGTGGTGGAACAGTGAGGCTACAAGGAGCAGAGGTCACAAAGGTGCAGGACAAGACAGTCGTGATTTATGGTCTGGAGACAGACATGGACAAAAAGACAGGAGACAGAACTGGAGGTGCAGAGCTGAAGATGCTGAGGTTCTTCTTAGGAGTGACAAGGATGAGATTAGGAATGAGATCATCACAGCACAGGTTGAACAACTGGGAGATTAAGTTAGAGAGACCAGATGGTTTGGACATGTCCAGAGGAGGGGCAGTGGGTATATGAGGATGAGTCACCATGGCAACCCCTGAAGAGGGAGAACAGACAAAAGCAGACGATGAAACGGGAACAAATAGATCCTTGGGAATTATTATTACAACAGAAAAAAAAAAAATTGGCATTTTTTTTCTCCATGAAAATTTTAAACCACCCCATCCAATTAGAAAAGATCAGGATTAGTATTTTGTTTTAGGCCAAGAAAGAGCAGCATTGTGAAGACGATCCACGGTTATTTTATCAGACTTTTATGTAAACAATTTCTTTATTTCAACAACTTCAGCACGAGATTTGCTGTATAGTGTCCTCCAAATCCCACATTATAAAAGCTGACAAGCTCAGAGGTTGTTGTGGTTCTAGTTTTTAAACGTCACCGTAGTTGAACTACTCCTAAAAAGAATGTAGTTGTTCAGGATTTGTTTTTCTTTCAGAATAACTCAAATGCATTTGTGACCTACCTGTCTCTTCAATTTACACCTCTGCACACACATATGAAGTTTTCTGTGTTGTCTTTATGAGATGGTTCCTCTCAGGTCAAGCTGATCACATATCACACATATGAAGCCAAATATTGATACTCAGAATCCCAAACATAACCAACATTTCTGAAAGCAACTGAGATGAGTAACATATCCAGTAGAACAAGTCCAGGCTTTAAAAAGAAACAAAGACAGAAGACAAGGTCTTAAGTTTTACATTCTAGCAGGCTTTAAAATGCAAACACTTGTGCAAACACAAATACTTATATCTCAGCAAATCAGCCAAAATTTGTGAGAAATGCAGTTTTTATTAACTTTAAATGGTTCATTCCGTCTTAAAATGTATCAAATTTACAGAATGTTGTGCAATACTTCTACAATTCAAACTATTATATATATATATATATATATGTATGTATGTATGTATGTGTATATATGTATATATATATATATATGTATGTATATATGTATGTATATATATATGTATGTATATATGTATATGTATGTATATATATATGTATGTATATAT